CTTTCCCACCTAGAGTTTCCCGGTTCCAAGGTTGTTTCATGGTCCCTTTCATCTCTTAAGTGTGATATGGGCAGATTTGGGTTGTGGGTAATTTGTTCCTAGTGTTGTTAGGCAAACTTGATTGATCTGTTGCTCATGGTTATGGTTTTGGTGTTTTGTTAGGGTGGGATTGTGGTTGTGGTTGATTGTGATTGTTTGTGGAATATCAGTTTATTTCACTCTACTATTGTCTTGTTGGTTGTGGTATCAATATGGCAACTCCACAAGATGTGATAGACACATTAATTAGGGATCATGTCAGACAGGTTCATTTTGTGAATGATCAAATTCAACAGATTATATTTGTCAAATTGAATGGGACTAACTATCACTCTTCGTCTCATGCCACCAAGTTTTTCTGCTTGCTAAAAAGAAAAATAAGTATTTAACTGCGGTTCCCCTTGCTAAGGAATCTACAAATTCTGAAGATTAGTGGAGTGAAAATTCCTTGATGATGACTTGGTTGTGGCTAAGTACGGAGCCCATGGTAGCTTCTAATATACAACTTCTTGATATAGCTAAAGATATGGGATTCTCTCCAGGAAATGCACTCTCAAGAGCATAATGTATCTCAAATTTATGACATCTTTGAGTGTATGTTTACTACCAAGAAAGGCAATAAATCCCTAGTTGAACACTATAGCACTTTGAAAGAGTTATGGGAGGTACTTTTGTTGTATCAGCCACAGAGTGCAAATCTGGAAGTTCAGCTACGACAACGTAACGGGTTTCAGGTTGCATTATTCTTGTCAAGCCTTAATTCTGAGTATGGTATTTTTAAAGATTAGATTTTAGCTATTGAGAAACTTCCGACCACTGCCAATGCTTATTCTCGCCTTCAACGGGCTTCTCTTACTCGTGGCACTTCTTTAGCTTCACTAGAGTCTTCTGCCTTAATCTCTAGTGATGGCAATTATGGTGTTTCCCATGGTGGACATAGTGGTAGTCATGTTAGATGGTAATCGTTGTGGTGGAGGCATCAGGTTGGTTTTTGATGATCCAACTCCTCCTGTATCTTAGTCATCGACTAGTGGACCTTCTACATCGACATTTGGCTCTCATAATAATCTTATTTCTCAACTCAGTCAACGCTTCCAATAGTTGTCTTCACTCTTGTCCCATTCGCCTACTTCAACTGCTGGTTTAACCACTATAAGTAATTTTGCACATATGACAGCACAATCCGCTTCACCATCTTGGATTATTGATTCGGAATCTAGTGCCCATATGTCTGGTATTCCCTCATTGTTTTTTAATTTTTGTTTTTCTAATTCTTGTATTGTTTTAACTGATGGTCTTTAGATTGTTTCTCAATTTTCCTTTTAATTTGTTATATGTGAGTCAGTTAACCAAATTTTTACGGTGTTCAGTGGCTTTTTCTCTAATTATTGTGTTTTCAAGACATACAAATGAAGAAGGTGATTAGTTTGGGGACATGAGCAGAATGGACTTCACTATTTAGATTCTAGAGCAACAATTCCTGCCATCATCCTTCATTGCAAAAGCTTCATCAAATTATTCCTGGTTTGAGTCATTTTGTTATGTTAGAATATGAGGGTTAACAATTAGAGAAGCATCACCGTAGTTCTTTTTTGTTAGTAGTACGATTCGTTATTCTAGTCGTTTTGCTATTGTTCACTCTGAAATTTGGGATCTTTCAAGAAAAAAAAAAAATTTTGGATTTTATTATAGGTTATGGTTGTCGTGTCAATCATTCCGAGTAGAAGTGTTCATATTCTAGAGCTGCTGGACATACCGAAAGATTATTGTTGGAATAAACATGAAAGACCAACCAACCTATGCTAATCAGGTTTCTGATGACCTGACTTCTTCAATATCTCGGTCATCGACTGGTGAACATGCTACACCTACATGTAGCTCCCATGAAGATCTTACTTCTCAGCTCATCTTGTAGTTGTCTTCACTCTCTCCCATTGCCTACTTTAGCTAACGGTTTAGCCATTGCAAGTAATTTTGCAAATGTGGCAAGCCCAATTTGCTACTTCATCTTGGATTATTAACTCAGGAATTAGTGCCCACATGTCTAGTATTTTCTCCTTGTTCTCTAAATTTCTTTTGTGTTAACTGATTATTCTCTCTTTTCTTTTCTTCTTTCTCCTTTTCAAACCCTAATTCTCTTACGGCATTAACTATATATAACTATTTTCGAGAAAATTTTCATTTTCATTTGTTTTTACGGGGAAAATTGATTACTTTTGGGAAAATCTATCCAAAACAAGAAATTAAGTTTCTATCCTAATCATTTTCCATGTCCCACTAACCCAACTCTTGACAAATTTTAAATTCTCTCTTTCCAAACCATCTCACCAAACAAACCCTTGGGAACTCTATTTCAAGGTATGCAGATTAGGCTGAGAACTTGATTGATGGATATGGTGAAAATCTCATTACAATTTTTAAATCCTAAAAAGCACCATAGCTGAATTATTTTCCAAAGGTTTCTAATTGATTTGTAGTGTAGGCACGTGTATGCTTGAAAGAATGTCTCTGATGCATAGGAGAAAATACTTGACGCCTTGAAATTGAAGTTGTCATGAGTTTTTATTCTTTTGTGATAGGCGGAAGACCCCAAGTTGAATTAGGTTCTTGGTTCGAAATGCTTTACAATGATACAAAAATACTGGAACTAACATGTGTGTATGATTAGTGTGTTGTACACACGTCAACATAAAACGAGTCCACGTCTATATAACACTATGAAAGCACTCTACATATGTCAACTTTTCGTTCACATCTTAAGAGTGCTAAAAAGGTGGGAACTTGGTTCTGAACAGTTTAAACCACTAGTATTTTGTCATTCGATCCACTTTTCAACCCTTTACAACAAACATCCAAGAGTAAATGCCACATATTGTCTACACCGGAGCTACCATTATGTATCAACTATCACATGGAACACTCGCGCACAGAAATAGATGAACCAAAAGAATAGGTAAGGTTGCGTTTGGGAACTAGGATTTTTTGTGCGTTTGGTGAATGTTTTCAATTTTTTTTTTGTTGCTCCGTTTTGAAAACAATGACAAAATATGGAAACATCCAAAATTATGTTTTTGAAAACAGCCAAAAAATGAAAACACGCAGAGGCGTTGAAAGGACTTTAATGTGGTCCAACCTTCGAGTTCTGTTAACAGCAAACAAGAGATTTTTTTTTAGCACATATATAAAGACCTCATATATCCTCTTTTTTTCTCTCTGACTCTCTCGAACAGCTCTCGCGTGCGCAGCTTACAATACCGAAGCTCTCTCCGACGATCTCACTTTAGCAAAACTCTCTCCATTCTCTATTCGACATCTCTCTCTCCAGATCTCTTCAATTAGTATTTTTTTGGATTTTCAGGGTTGGTGGTGGTAGGCTTTAAGGTGTAGTAAGGTTTTGGGTTGGGTGGATTTTTGGGGCTGGTGCTGGTGGGTTTTGGGTGGTGGGTGGGTGGTGGGTTTTCAGGGCCAGTAGGTTTTGGTGGTTAGTTTTTGGGGGCTGCAAGTGGTGGGTTTTCAAGGCTGCTGGTGGGTTTGGGTGGTGGATTTTCGGGGCTGCTAGTGGTGGGTTTTCGGGGGTGTAGGGTGGCGCGTTTTCGGTTGTTGGGTGATGCACCCCAATTATATTTTGAGGAGCAACTTATTTATGATTAAAAAATTAACCAAAACAACCATAATACCTAACATACTTTTATTTTTTTTTTCATAATTTTTTAAATATAAATATCTACCAAACATGTTTTATATTTTTAGTTTTTATCTCAAAAAAAATAAAAACTAGTTCTGTTTTTTTTATAAAAAAGAAAATATAAAAACGAAAACATTATCAAGCGCACCCTAAATAAACAAGCGGGCAGATCCATACACATGCAAGGAGTAGGGTTTAAAGTACCCTTACAAATTTAAGTGTGCCTTGTATCCTCTATGGTGGGATTGCATATGGCACTCATATCCATGAATAATTAAAACACTAATGAATGTGTACACTCTACAAATCACATACATACAGTTCTATCAAAAAAGAAATCACATACATAGATTTAATTGCAATAGAGCACCACGATGTTTATCTCTTCTTTAAAAACATGACTAAAGGTTGTAGCTCATGTTCTCCAAAAAGGACAAGGATAGAGCGGCACAAAGGTGCCCCCGAAAATGGGGGTCATTTATTGGTAGTTGAAGCCAAACCATGCAGATCTTAAAAATTATATTAAGAATAAAAATTTTAAAATCTTATGATAAGGCGTAAAACAGGAAGCATTTTTAAGAAGATTTATAAGAGATGAGGGACAGTGGGACACTATTGTCTAGATATCTAAATTTGGACTTCAGTGAGTAGTAAGAATGAAGAGAAACCCTTTACACAGCACACACGAAGACACAGAGGACACTATCACATCACACATCAAAATAAAAATCAGATTTCGAAAATTTTTCTGAAGCAAGCACATAGGAAAAACTTACCAAAACAACTCAAGCCCTTTGTCTTGAGCAAGGTCCATAATAATATGCACAATGCAAGCCAAAGCATTAATTAAAGGAGCTTTATGCGTCCTTGTACGACTTGGTTCACGAGGTCTATGCCTCGAGCAACAAGATTTTTATATTTCAGATATACAGTTTAGGTTTTTTTTTTTTTTTTTTTTTTGGAACAAAGATATACCGTTTAGGTCAATGGCAGCATTCTTTATTATTTATTGGCATTTAGAGATTTTCACTCAACTTGATGAACTATGTCATGCCATGCATGCTTATTAACATTTTGCGTTTTATTTTTTGTCCATTATATTTTCTTGTTTTAAGCATTTATAATCTGGAAGTAACATTGAAAGGCAGGATGTGTTTTATGCCTTGCCAAGCCTAATCATTTTTATTCATAAGATCATGTTCCCATGCATCATGTACCTGTCCAAGTGTTCGATTTTTTTTATTTTTTTTTTTTGGGGGAGAGAGAGAGAGAGGATCTACCAAGTTATTAAGGTCCACAAAGCACTTACCCCAGGTTGATCTACAACATTAACTGTGTAACGATCTTCTGTGGTTGAATCATAGACATCAGAGAAAGGCCTGCAATTTGAATATATAAGAATTATACAATAGACTCAATAACAATTAAAAATTTACCAACCACAATCTTGATCAAAATTGAACTAAGTTAAATGAGTCTTCATGCAGGTTCATAAGAAACACCTTCCAATAAAAGAATTCAATAATGCAGATTTTCCAGCCTCCTTTGGCCCAAAAACAAAACAGTGGAAAACATTTCTATCAGATTGTCTCTTTTTGCGATCCAAACGTCTTCTCCGAGTGACACGGATGGCAGAAGAAGGATCTCCAGCATATCCAATGTATATCAGGTTCTCCACACTATGAATCGGATCTAGAAGTGTCATGAGGGTCCACTGCACCAGCATATTTGCCAGAAAATCAGAACAAATATCTTGCTTGAAAAACTACAATATTTATGAGTAGATAAAAAGAAAAGTAGAACTATCGCTAATTAAACAATGAGATTCTCAAGTTAGTTGAGCCCTTGAACCCTCAACCTGTATGCTCTCCATGTAAACTCATTTTTTTCGTTAAGAAACATCAAATTTATTAATAATCGAAATAAAAATAGCGGTACAAGAACCAATCAAAGGTGGACAAGTCGTCCATCCAAATGATTAGTAAAACAAAAGTTTAAAAAAAAAAAAAAAGACTAGACAACGGACCACATTACAAGCCGCATGATCCAATCCAACTTGCCATTATCACAAATGCCCAAAAAGAAGCCAAGAAGTAAAGCTGGTCCCATAAGCCCTCAAGTTCCAACCATTTATCTTCAAAGATTCTCGCATTTCTCTCCCTCCATAAAACCCAAATTGTTGCAAAGAAAGCTCAATGCCAAAAAATCTTTCCTCCTCTACTTCCCTCCAAACCCATAAGAACCGAGCAAATCATAGATAATATAGATCTCAAAGCCACCCAATAAAGACCAACACAAACAATTTATTCCATAATGATAGAGTCATACTCATAGGGCAATGCAAGAATAAATAATCCAGACTCTCACCATCCCCTCTACACATAACACACCACTGAGGTGAAAGACAAATCTTAGGTCTATTTATTTGAAGTACATCATTAGTATTAATTTTAGGGTATATTGGACCAATGGTTCCCGAGGTTTGACATTTAACGTACTTTAGTCCTTCAAATTTTAATTCTATCAATTTGATACTCAAAATTCACATATTGAGTAAATGTAGTCCTTGGCACTAATATACATAGAACCCAAACACACTTCTTCTTCTTCTTCCTTAGCCTTTTTTTCTTATTTTCTCTCTCTCACACACACCCAAAACATAGTTTGTGACCCTGCATGCACATCTCTATTCCTCCTCTCAACACAAAACGTGAAATTAATCCCAAAACTACAGCTCGTCTCTTTATCTCTGCACATCACACACGTTTCTCTCCTTCTCTACAATTCACTTTATCTGCAATGAACACACACCCTCCCCCCAAACAACCACACCCACAGCCACCTGCAGTGACCATAAAGCAACCAACTTATTCACAATATCTTACAAATCAGTAACAAAATTGAGAGAAAATGGGGTTTGGGATGTTTCACAGTGGATCACTGTTTGGCTTGGTGTGGCAAGGTTCAGTGATGGATACGGTTTGCTAATGGTTATAGGTGGCAGTTTCACATTGGTGGAGATTGTCGATTGGGATTAAGGATTATACTTTGTTTTCTGTAGGGCACTATGAGAGAGAGAGAGGCGTTTAAAGGGTGGCTCGTGGCGATGAAGTTTAACAGTGGAAGATATCCAGCAGCTGTGGAGTCTTACACAAAAACACACACACACACACAGATGGTCTTATCTTGCTTTTCCATTTGTGCCCTGTGTTTTGAAAGTCTTGTGACAAAAATGTCCCTTAATACTTCTATGTGCCAGGCACGTGAAATTTTCCGTCCATCATTTAAACGACAGTACGAAGAACTACATTTACTCAATATGTGAACTTTGAGGATCAAATTGACATACTTAAAACTTTAAGGACTGAAGTACGAGAAACGTTAAACCTCAGAGACCATTGGTACAATTTACTCTTAATCTTACCACGAGTAATTAGTCATCCACAAACGTGCACCTTTAGAGGAACACTAACATTCCAAATATTGGAAGATGGATGAAATAATGGTAGTGAAGAGTCATCAATTAGTGATTCGAAGTAAGATTTACTAGAAAAGACACCCAAGGGATCACTAATCCAAATGCTTTTATCCAACGAACTCTGGGACAATGTAACATTATTGAGCATAGTAAGAAGTATCACCAATTCAGAATGTTCCCTGTCATTAAGATTTTTACAGAAACCAAAATCCCAAGTTACCAGAAAAGAATAAGATGTAAGAAAAGATGCAATGCAATACATTTCTCATGACAAGAAGAAGTATGATAGAGATGAGGAAAAAGGCAAACAAATGAAGACTCTCCCCTCCAAATATCCTCTCAAAATTGAACCTTTACCCCATCTCCCGCCATGAAACTTACCCTCTAAGAAAGGCTAGTAGTCCCTGAAAAATGTACTTCCATGGAATCCGGAAGATCCCCCTTCAAACCCCTAGCATCCCACCCAATAGCATGTACCCCATATTTGCTCCTAATAATCGTGTGACACAATGACCCTTGCTCAAATAGAAATCTACAACGCCATTTATCAACCAAGCCTCATTTCTTTTTACCAAATTCCCTAGGGAAAGCCCACCCTTAGCTTTTGGGCTAGTGACAACATCCCAAGAAACCAAATGATCCTTCTTTCCTTCCTCACCCCCTCCCCATAAGAAATCCCTCATCATCCCTTCAATCCTTCTAGCTCGCCATATAAACTCATAGCATTCAACATGAAGCAAGACACTCACTGAAACTAACCTGTACCATTTATTTGGAATTATCACCATTCACGTGCATGAAACATTACAAAGGGTGACCTAAAAAACCATCTTGAAGCATCTACATTTCAAACCATTGCATACCCAAACAGAGACCACTCAAAAAGAATGCATCAACAACACAACTAATCAGCAGATCCCAAAAAGGTTCCAGCAATACAATAAAGAGTACAAAGCTGTATGATTAAAAACAAATAATCGAGGTTCTAAGAGAAAAAGGCTAAAAACACACCACTTTCTGTGGTGTATGCAACTGTGGGTAGATGCTCGAGAACAATGTGTAGTAGGAGACTTTACTGAGGTGATCAGCACAGTGAAGATGGCTGAGAGAGAATATTAATTACATGAGAATAGATGACTCAGAGCCATTGCACAGAGAGAGATAGGGGGGGAGGGGGAGAGAACGAGACTGAACACAACCTGTGAGAGTGAGAGAAAGAGAAATGCTTGATAGAACACAGAACACACAATGGGAGAGAGAGACTGCCCTAACCCTAAATTCCCCCTCTTATGCAAAGTGATAGGCTGAAATGCAGGTTAAAAACGAGGATGAATCTGATTAAGTAAAAGTCAGGATGGACTTCAGGTCATATTCACAATCAACCACAAATACCAATTCAGTTTAGATATGTTTACCCAAACCAACCCCAGTACAGAAATCTCTGCTCAAGAATTGGATACTTTCACCCTTACATAGAACCCAATGATTAGAAAGCATATAAGTTAGGTTCACAAACACAGATAACAGTTAAACAATATGCCACCTTCTCTCCAAAAAAAAAAAAAAGAAAAAGAAAAAAATTGAATAATGAAAGTCACCGAGTAATCATCTCTAAATTTGAAAAATACATTTAAGTACTATATCTTTTATCACATCAGTTACCTCTTTCTGAAACCGAAAAAGTGCATGAAGTTACGGTGCGTTTGTTTTAGGTATTAGCAAAGAGGGATTGGAAAAATAACACCGGGCCCACCTTATCCCTCTGATACCCATGCTTGGGTACACATTTTGGGCCCGGTATTATCACCTAAAAATAATACCAGCCCGGATGAATAGTATATTTAATACCACATACAACTTCTTAAATAAATCAACCTTTTTTGTGGGTTTGATAATCCAATTAGAATGTATTTTGCCGAAAGATATTTTTACCCTCAAGTTTCTCTAAGATATAAAAATCATTCTATATCTTGAGGGTTCTTTAGTAATTTAATGTTTATACTATCATTCAATATTCCATTCAAACAAAGTATTGGATGGGATAAATGTGGAGCTCACTACTTCTTAATACTTGAACCAAACATAAAAGGAGGAGGCATTATTACTATAATTAGTCTAAGGGCCAGATGGATGGGTAAAGGATGGACGGCATTATCTAATCTGGTCCTTCTTAATGCTTAAACCAAACCACACCCTTAAAATATAGAATAAAACTTTGTATTTGAACTAATGGCCATTATCATGGCATTTGTGTTGGATATAACAACAGTCAGGGATGTCAAACGTGTCGGATTGGGTCATTTCGTATCGGATTGGGTCATTTCGTGTTGGGTTGATTTCGAGTTTATGTCGAAAATCCCAAAACTCAAACCTGACATATTTAATAATCGTGTTGAAATGTGTAAACACTAACCTGACATTACCATTAAACGAGTTATCCGAACCCGACCTATTTGACACGTTTAATAAACAGGTCGTTTTTGGATTAACACACATAACATGATATGTTTAATTCGTTTAACACACATAACACAGACTTGTTAACACGCATAACATGTTTTCACACCTGTTTATTACCGTTCAATCATCCATCCAAAATTCAAATAATTTTTTCACAAATAACATATCACTTCTCATCAATGAAATTAACTAAAATACATTCAAGTTTTAACCCAAAAATTAAAGCAAACACTATACTAGTATCCTGTCATAATAATATTAAGAACTATATTGTCAATTATCATAGTAAAAATAAGAACTAATAAGTAATAATGTTAAGACCCTATCAGTCATACATAATAGACAAACTATACTACCATGAACGGGTCTACAATGGGTTACGTCAGGTTCATGTCCAAATCATGTCAATCCATTTAAAATATATGGGTTAATTAGGTCAAAATCGAGCAGACCTAATTTTGACATGAACCCAACATGATTTTTTTCGTGTTTAAGCGTGTTGACCCGTTTTAACCCAATGATTAGTTTAATTTTGTGTTCGGTTCATGTCGTGTCAAAAATTAACAGGCTTAACAACAGTGCTATATACAAGTTAATCTCATGTTATATTCAACCATGTAATCTAGTGTAACATGGGGCCCCAGAAATCAATGAGTAGACATGAAAGGAATTAGGGTATACATACCTCTGACAAAAACCCATTAAGTGAGAGCCCTCCCAACGCAGTTTTCTCTGCAGCATCCTTGTAAGGAGCTTCACTCCAAGGACTGAAATTCAAAGAAAAAAAACCCACAGCAACAACAAATCACCATCAATGAAAAAAACTGAAGAAAAACATTCACAAGCCATGTCATAAAAGAACAATTTCATTACTATAAGCACAAAAAAAAAATACAATAGGTAATTAAATCAACTTATGTGTTGTTGGTGACCAAAGTACATTTCAATAGCACTTGGAACATGGATCTCTTCCATACATTAGGAGTAACAATTAACACAACTCAAACTTGATACGAAATTAGCATGTTTGGCAAAGATTAACCATGTTCTTGACATATGTTGACATGATTAACTCGTGTATTAAACAATTCCTAGGGATTTTTCATATCACCCTGCTTGACACGTTGATGACATGAACATGAATACTCATTACCAAATTAGAAAGATAATTTTTGTGGAATTAATCAATTCCTTTCTTTTAAAAGAAATTAGGTTCAAGTAAGCAAATTACAAATATGTTATGGTTACACGAGTCTATCCGTCGCATATAGGCTTTAAGGAAATTGTGGCATAACCATAAAGGTGAAGTCAAGTACCAGAACACACATACTTCCACACGACATAACCTTCAAGGTGAAGTCGGGTACTTGTAACACATATAGTTCAACACGACACAACTGCCATGCATTCCCTACATGAAGGGAACTTTTATCCCCTACATGAAGGGAACTTTTATCCGGTCTATGACATACCTCCTCGATCAAGTACTAAACTAGTATGAAATCTAATCTATTTTATCCAGTATTCCAATCTATTTTATTTCCCTTCTTAAAATACCTTATTTTGTGGCTATGAAAAAAATGCCTTTAAGGATGCAAGTTTGTACATAAGATAATTGCTCATTATAAGATCAATTCTAATGATGTTCTTCAAAGAAGGAGACCCAATAATTGCCTTTGTCCTCATTGGTGTGTGTTATGTGTAGATGTGATAGTGGGAGTGTGGATCATCTATTTTTGCATTGTCCTTTAGTGCAATCACTATAGAATAAATTATTTAATATTGTGGGACATTATTAGATGGCAACTAGGACCAGGTCCTCTATGCTATGCTTGGATGAGATGGATTTCAGCTGAGGTAGAAGACGAAAGACCCTTTTGGCTTTATGCATTCACTTTATGGGTTAATGGGATTGAAAGGAATGCAAGAATATTTAAGGACAAATGCGAAGAGTTTGAGGGACTATGGCTTAGACTTTATTTTTTGGCTTCATTTTGGACCCCTTTGACTAAAGAGTTTGAAGATGTTCCTCTCTTTTGTATTACTACAAGTTAGAAAGCATCATGTGAATTGTATTTTCCTCTTTTATTTTCATGTTGTTGATAATCGATCATTGCGATTGACAACTTGTCCACCTTTGATTTGGCTATTGATTTTGTAATGCCTATTAATGATTTTATTATCAATAAATTTTTTTATTTTGATAAGAATTCATTAATAAATAAAATTTGTAATATCCGAGCAAAGGTGGATAAGTAATCCATCCCGATCACATGCATAATATGAACATAAAACAAAAACAAAACAGCCACCAAGAGTTAAAAAAAACTATCTTCCACAAGATGCCATCCAACTTGAGGTAATAAAAAAAAGAGGGTTAATTTCAAACTCCTTCGTTACAGAGGCCCAACTTCACATCTTCTTTATCTTCAAAAATTCTAGAATTTTTTTTCAACCAAATTACCCAAACCATTGCAAAGAAAGCACAATTCCAAAGAACAACACGCCTTTTACCACCACCCAAACCTTTATACTCGACCGAAAACATGGAGGATATTGATTGCGGGGCTACACAACGAACCCCTACCAGCTCAAATAATTTATTCCAAAGGAAAAATGCAATAGAACAATGTAAAAATAAAAGCACACACTCTCATAACTTGCTTTACGCATAACACACCATTGTGGGCATAGATTAGTTTAAGGCTCCCTCCTTTGTAACACATCATAAGTATTAACTTTGTCATGAACAATCACCCCTGCATGCACTTGAGAATCATCAATCAAAGATTCCACAAATGATTTACATGAGAAAGAACCCGATGGATCAATCACACATCTTTTGTCCAAAGAGTTCAAAGTGATAAAATTAAGCAAGGAAACAAGAAAAAACAACTCCGAAGACTCTGCCATTTAAATTTGAAATCTGAGATAGATTTTCTTCGCCGCTGATTGAAGAGGATTTGCTGATTTTTATCGTAGTTTGTCGTGCAAAAGTCCAATATGTCAAATCATAATCCATATATTGTTAAACGCTAGATTCTTGTGATGACCCTGATAAATATACTTGTTATGTACACCATATATGAACTCATTCATATTTAAACATACAAATGTCAAGTAATACACAAGCATAATGTTATAGCCAGTAACTTAATGCTTTTACAACAACAACAAACATACCCAAAACTCTTAAGCAATTTAGCCATCATATCTACAGTATGTGCACCATGGGATCTGTTCACTGTTTTACTTGAGGTAAAAAAAAAGTCCATGAGGATAATATAGCTCCTCCCCCAACCATAAGATGGCAGAGATGGACGCTACTGCTGCAGTACCAACCACCCTTCCATTTGGTTATTTTCTTCCTTCCTCTTCTTCTTCATCAGAAATCCATGTACCAACAGCGGTCAATGGTTGGTTTAACCGTGGCAGCCAGTGGCTTGGCCCAGGAAAAAGGTATACAGCCCATCCCAGCCAAAAAATGCCACCTCCCAGGCACAGGCCCACATGGGCCATGAAAAGGAAAGGGCCCCTGCAGCCCGGACATTTTTTTCCTGACCCGCAAACAGTCATGAACAGCGAGTAAGGACACCTCTATTTTGTAATTCTACAATACAAGTGTAAAATTCAATTTACACCCCAAGAAAAGGTCATCTTAAAGGATAATTTTGGACATTTTCTATTCGACACATTGCCTATAAATAGATGTCATTTCCATTCATTTCAACTCACCAATTTACTCAATTTCTCTTGATTGCTCTCAGGTCTCCATTGTAATATAAAAGCTCAATTTTTCACATCATACAAGTTACAAGCTCTCTACTCTCAAGTCTCTACATAATGGCTTCATCTCATTCACAAAACATTTTTACAATCAAAATAATTCTGACTCTAATAGCGATCTCCATGGGTCAACGGAGTGCTCAATGTTCACCTCCTGAGGTTGCTTCTACAGTTCTACTACTGAAACTGTTGACGGCCCCTCAAGCAAAAGGACCAAGTCCGAAATATGAAATAACGATACTACAATAAACATCAAGGACGATAATGGGAAAGTCATACATGTAAAACCTATATGTCACCCGTGTTAAAAAAAACAGATCAGCAGCCCATATAAAAGAGGCATTAGCCAATTACATAGGCATACAGCAAATGCTTAGGAAAGGTTCTTAAGGTCAACTCACATTAGACAAACTTTGTAACCTCAATATATCTCCACTAGAGCACCATGTACTTTTAGTTATGAATCTGAAAGAGCTACGAAATCAATGGTTAAATGAATTGCGGTAAAAATCTCTCTTTTATGACAATTGATGACCATCATTTTGAAAAATATAAAACAACAAGTTTTTAATCCTAATTTCAAATATTTTTCCAGCAAACTTATAAAAGGATGTTATGAACTATTACAAAATCAGATCAATAAAAATCTTATATCTAAATTTACTTGGTTTCTCATATTTGGTCTTCTTGCCAAGTTTATAATATCCATGAATAACTACCCAATTTATGGATCAGAATTAGATTGTGCAAAAAATACCCAATACTTTTGCTAAGGTTGAAAATAAAAACAATGGACAACTAATTTTTGACATTATTCACAACCTGATATTATTCAAGATATTATTTTTATTATTATTTTGGACAATATTACAAATAACAATGTTCTTTACCTTTCCTGTGATTCTTTCTTTTTTTTTGATAGGAAGCATAAATTTTATTAATACTATCAAAAATATTACATAAGGCAAAAAGTTGGACTAGATATCAACAGCCTCAATGACACAAATAATAAAACAAAGGAAAAAAGCATAATTAGTCCGTCTATAAGCTACCAAAATCGAGTTGTCTAAAGATCATAAACAGCCCTCCATCCAGGCCGAGATACAGAGAAGCGAAAGACCCTCAAAGTCTTTTGCGATTGAGGCCCAAAAAGATGCCAAAAAAATAAAAAGATATGGTTTCATAAACCATCAACTACTTCACTTCTATCTTCAAAATTTCAAAATTTCTCTCTAACCAAATAACCCAAACCGTGGCAAGCATTGCACAATTCCATAATGTTTATGAAAAACAAGCCTAGGAGAGCACCTAGGCAAGAAGCAAAACGAAGCAAGCCTTAGTCGCCTTGAACATCCTAGGCTAAGAGAGGTAAAGTAAAGCGAGGAAAAAGTGAGCCTAGGCGACGAAACGAAGAAGCAAGCCAGACGGGAGAAACGAACGCCTGACTGCAGTTTTTTTATCTTCTCCTCCTCCTCCTTAACATTAAATAAATACTAGCAGAGATGATGTTATATGTGTATATGTATAAAATAAATTGATTAATTCATCTAATAATATCATATGACAATCTGTCTTATTATGATTAGATGATTTTAAATGCTTTATTTTGTTGTGAATACTCTTGTTAATCAATTTGTTTGGTTAATCAAATTGATTAATCAATTTGCTATATGCTCCATTTGAGTAATTAATTTGTGAGTACTCTATTTAGTGGTGATATTAATCAATCATAGTGGAAGTCGAACCCACATTTACTAGCTTTACATTTAGATGACATGATTATGTCAATTGATTATTTTAGAATGCAATAATGTTCAATATTTATCTTGTCTATTTAAAATATGTTGATGTTTATTATTTTTGTTGTATTTAAATATTTTGTATTTGTAAAGTTAAAACTTGAATATTTAGTAGTAATCAAAGTATCAAACTAAAATATTTACTTATTTTTTATATTGTTCGCTTGAGGAGATTGGTTCGCTTTAGGAGATTAGTTCGCTTTGATTCGCTTTACGCCTTAAATAACACTGGTGTGACTCCTTTATAATGATTCCCAAAACCCTTAAAGTCCTCAACAAACATGGAAGAAAAAGACTAAGAAGGAACCTAACTTAAATCTGTCAATGAAAACAATCTATTCTACAAACTTAAAGCAAATAGAAAAATGCAAAAAAAAGATGATTAACACTTTCACTATCACCATGGCACATAACACACCATTGTAAAGAGAGACAAATTTGAGGTCTTCTCCTTTGAAGCATATCATTTGTATTAATCTTACCATGACCAATAGTCCATGCACAAACTTCCCCCTTAGTTGGAGCTTTAGCCTTCCAAATCATCAATGAGGGGAGAAAAAATGAGAAGGATCATCAATCAAGGACTCAAAAGAATGATTTACACAAGAAACATCTGGATGACTTATGCATCCATCTTTTATCAAGGAACTCTTGATTTATATGAACATAATTAAGGAAAGAAGTGAAACCAAATTAAGATTTTTTCTTATTTAAATTCCTATGAAACCCAAACTCCCAAGATAACAAATTTGAACTCAATCGAATCAAAAAAAATGATATAACCTATTGTGAGCCCTAAAAACCCAATAGAGATGAGGAAACAAAACAAACAAAGACCCCCATAACCAAATATCATCCCAAAAACAAATTCTTTTTCTATTTCCTACAACAAAATTAACATTAAGAGAAAACTCAGGTACACCCTAAGATATGAATTTCAACGGGCATCGAAAAACTTCTCATTTCAACTCTATTAACATCTCATCCATTAAGTTACAAAAAAAAAAAAAAATCTTCAAAATCATTTCGCTACTAAGGCCACATTTCTTAGCTTCAAATTTGCCACTAAAATGTTCCCTTTAACCTTAGATCTAAAACCAGCTCTCCATTAATCAAATTATCTTTTTCCCTTCTTCACTCCTTTTGCACAAAAAATCTCTCATCATTTTTTCAATCTTATGCATGCGTCATATATTAAGTCTCCCTTGATTTGAATAAAACTTTGAGTCTTCATTCATTTGATATGGGTTTGAGTAAAGAATTGAAGGTTGTTTTTAACCAATTTTTACTCAAATTTAAATTTGAGTAAGGGTTTGGGTAAGACTTGGAGATTCTCTAATTCAACCTTTTACTCTAAAGCCATTAAGAAAGGTTTGCTAATATTTTATCATTTATCTAAATTTAAAACCCGTAAATATTTTTTACCACTTATTGATTTGTATAATGTATGAGAACTTAACTCATGAGCACTTGAACCATATGTCTCAAATAAAATCTTATTTCGCAACACTTTTTGATGAATTATTGTCAGTTAGAGAGTGGTGCTACAACCCAAAGCCCCAAGTGGTATTGGTAGTGGCAGGTAGTAATGGCAAAAACCTCTTTGCTGGCTAAGGTTAAGGGTAAGGATACCATGCAGTCATCAACAATATTCTGTTACCCACTTCACTCGCTTTGACGAATTAAATCCAACTACGTTTGGTTGAAGTGATTCAGTGGTTGTGATTATTTAGCGGTTAAAATTAAGGGAAGGTGTTGAGGACGGTTACGTTGGCTTTGCATGGAGAAGCAGAAATGGGGATCCCCCTCAGTTGACAATGACCACCCAGACCAAATTGAAGGCTTGAAGATCTGTCATTTGGGATGATTGCAGTTCAATTATTCTCTTTAACTTGGCTATCTCGGCCAGGCCATTGCCCCATTGCACCCCTTTCCTCTCATCTCCTCTCTCTTATTCTATTTTCAATGTGAACTGAAATTGGGGCTAGGAGACTGAAACCCTAACTTTGAAATTGGTTCAAACATTGAGATTGAAATTTGAAATTGGGATGTAAGCATTCAAATTAAGATCTGAATAAACTGAAAATTAAGAGGGGATAACACACATCATACAAAAGACTTGAATTTTTTCAGTTTTTTATGGATTCCGACAACTTATAGACATCTAGAGTCGGAGTCATTTCATGTATGTGTGGGCCTGTCATGTCCACTTTTTCACCACACGAAATCCAAACCACCCAATTGTGTTCACAAATCATATCTAGAATCGCCACGTCTAATTTTAGATTCCAATACAAAAAAAAAACTGACTATGCCCCTAAAAAAGGCTTCAGTAGGGTTTTGGATTTCCTTTCAGGACTAGGATCCAAAAGCAAAGAACTCTAGGATTACGTTTTTTTCAAAAATGAATGGGCCCACACTATTATGTCAAGTTGATATAAACTGGCATTACCAGCACACATCATTTCCAACATAGACAAAATCTTCAAGCCTGAAAGAGGTTCTTCTACTGTTAAAAAAACAAATGTAATTCAATCCAGACATATCGTTTTCAGTAGAGGCCAAGTCTAAGACTTGGTGACAGTCAATAAAATCCCACATTGCACTCAAAAGTAGCCTGAATTTGTCCAACCATTACATTCATGCAAACTTTGCAAGGAGAAAAGAATGGTTTACACTATTGACTGAACTAAAGAATGTGACTATTAAGCGAATGGAAGTATGAAACTAAAGGAATGATACTGAACAAAAAAACATACTTTTCTGGTGCTGTAGAAAACAGGTCCTCGATCTCACTTGATCGAAGGGCTCCATCCTGATGAATACCAGAGACATATTGTCAGGATTCTTGGAGCTTGGGGGATTCACAATTTAACACTAGAAAATGTGCATGAAATCAAAGTGAAGACTGTAATTGCACAGAATGGGTGCCATCATTGAAGGAGAGAAACCGGATACTGTTGACACCTATTAAGCTACTATAAAATGCAAAATTAAGCTCATGCGAACATATCACGCGGTCACCAAAAACTCTATGCTTGGGAGCTAGTGGAAGGACACAAAACCCTTTCACCAAATTAATATAACTCTAGAACACAATCCTTTTCGATCCCCACCACTACTGTCCTCTACCAACATAATAAAATAAGCGGCAAAAGCCATTTAGATGAGATTGTTTGAATCAATTTTCAATTGGTCATCCAAATTAAGACACCTGCTAATGCTTGAGGGCAAGGCCTTTTTCTATATTCCGTTGGCCTACTGAAAACACAATTAAATGAAACACATCACACATTAAACATCCTTACTTACCCTTAGGTGTTACTTATAAAATGAATTGTTTGAAATTGAGATAGCTAAAAAGGGACATTTTTGGAAACCTAGTATGGAATACCTCACGAATTCTCAATACTGTGACAATTTTTAGGGAAGTCCAGAAAAGAAAAAGAGGAGCATTTTTCATGGACAAACATTATGTGAGGGCGTATTTTCTGATTTTATTAGGTAATTCCTCACCCTACTTTCCTCTTAAACCAAAAGGAGCAAAACACTTAATTATTGAGCGAGTTGAAAAGGATCAACAGCAGTCAGATAGGTATGAAGATGTTCAAAACCCCCTGATTCTTAGTACTTGCCAGAAGAAGAAACTTTACAGTTCTTTTTAAAATGAGCCATACATGATGATATATACCCCCCATATATGCTAGTAAGTGATGGGGATCGTGTAAGAATTGGATAGATATTTTAGATTAATCATGAGAGTAATTTAGTATTTATCTTTTAAGTATTTTCTTTTAACTTTTATGAGTTTAATTGTCATTATAACTATTTATTTCTTTTAGAGTTTTTTTAGGAATTGTGGTCTCCCTATATATATATATATAGGGGATATGGTATTTGTTTTGGTTGACTTTGATTATTATTGATTATTGATATTGAATCCTTCTTCTTTAAATTCTCTCTGTTCTCATCCCCTTCTTCTTCTTTTCTCATCTCCTTCTTCTTCCCTTCTCATCCCTAATTCTTTCTTAATACAATCTACATCAGTAAGGCATCAATTATCAACTTGAACAAGCCCATAACCTAGAGGGTGAATAACGATGATGTGAGGTAACTTTTCTACAACTTATTTATAAACAACATTAGTAGGAATTAAAGTGGCTAATTTTTTCTATTGATAAACAAAACATGAGGAATATGTGATGTAACCAACATATAAAGTCAGCTCAAATTTTAAAAGAATAAAAACAAGAGGGCAAGTCCATACTCCATCACTGTCAAACATATTGAATATGTATTTTAGAAATTCCACAGCTTCATTTGTCAGCTCCACACTCTACACGAAGGAAATATCACATTAGTATTTCAAAGAGAACGCTAAAATTGAGGAGATGCATTGATCGCAAAGTCAGTTCAATGTCACTTCTGGGGATAAAGGGTAGCAATTTCAGGCAAATTCACATGAGCCCATTTTTGAGCCATTCTATGGCATTAAACTGTTAGTGTAGTCCCACTGTCCCAAATCAATGCCAACTACAGTTCATATAACTCCAGCCCAGGGAAAGAGCTATAAGATCAGCTATAGTTTGTCATATATTTTGGGTCGTGAAGGAACAATATGTATAAAAAACCTTAAGGTGTAACCAACATAATAAATCACAAATCACATTCTGTGAAAGGATAGGAATGGACTTAAGATGGCACCAACTCAATATAATGAAGAAATAAATGTTGTGGTCATTACACCAAAGACCAATAATTCCAAGTGTAAGAACATGAAAAAGACCATCAAAAAGAACATTGGCACCATGAAATACAATGAAAAAAAAAATGGCACTGGACTAGAACCAGCAATAGGACTGTGTAATGCACCCCAGCTACACCTTGTGAAGCACCATCATATTAATGATTAACAGAAAAAGAGATCAAGGAACGATAAAGCATAAGATAGCTGGCAAACTAAATCCAAGAATCCACTAGCCATGTTAGCAATTGGTGTTATTTACATCTATAACTGCTAAAAACTGTAATTCCACAACCATGAAACAATCTAACAGTTCGAATTTAGGCATAATTGGGGATTCACCTTACCAGTAATGCCAGATAGACTAGTTTTCCCCAGCTATGCCACTCATCAATTAGTGATTTCCTACTAACAAGGATAATTACACTGACATTCACATAGTGAGCATCATTGTGAACTTCTGAAACAAAATTTTAGTCAGTTTCCTATTAGCCATGACACCGGAGATTAACCAGAAGAAGGAATTACCTGATCAGGAGTTCGTTTTATTGGTGATGGAAGCTGATTATCACTGAGTCGGATATCATTATTGTATCCGAATTTCCTTAGGACGGTCCATGTTGTCTCCAAACGCCCCTTTTCAATGAATAGGGCATGAAGAAATAGGAATCCCGTCAAAGTCAGGCCACGGTCATTGACACCTTCAGGCAGTTTTTCTTCAACAACCCTCTTAACACCCACAATTTCAGAAGGTTGTAATGGCGCATTGAAACACTTGACCTATTTACGATGATCATTCAATTATATCAGAAACTAAATAACAACAGGAAACAAGCCTGCGCAGACAGATATTCTTCAAGAAGCATAACAAGATTACTTATTCAAAATCATCAAAATAATAAACGGAAATGAGAGGTATTGAACAAACTCAAAGTAATGCCTATGTGATACATGAATATATGCAGACTGCATTAGTCACACAAAAATAAAAATGAAAAGAGCAACTTGCAGTGACAACCATCAAGGTTTAGTAAAAATACACTCCACCCCCACAATTTAAGAAATAACAGCCGGCCCCGTGTCATAGTTCATCAGGTGATGTGGCTAACTGACGCTGCTAATTTTACCATCCTATTCCTTATCAGTTTACCATATTATCATCTTTAGGATAAAACTAGCCAAAATCAAATAAGAAAGAGAGAGGTGGAGGAACAGTGGTGAGTCTTACCTCAAACCCGCCTAGGGATATAACCAAGGTGAGCTACTCGAGAGCCACTTGAGCTTGGCTCCTTATAGGATCTTTTGACCTTGGCTCGTCAGGCTATGTGCGCCAAGCTTGAGTTGAAACTCAGGCTCTCATAAAAGCAAGCAAAGCTTAAGCAAAGAGTCGCTCAGCTCTCCAAGTTTCCTTTCCATTACTTTTTACCTTTTTATGGCATTATTGTCAATCTGTAGTCGTGATTGGGGAACCTTGCATGGCAGTCTTGTAATTTACAATAATGATGTGGCCCACTTGTGTATAAAAACAAATTAACATGTCCAACAAAAGATAATACCTACAACATTAAAAATGACAAAAGATACAACATCATCATTTTTATATCTCCAAGGCTTGAGCCACTCTTAAACTGTTATGAGCCAACCTTGATAGCCTGTTTGGTATGGAGGAAAATGGGTGGATGGAAAAGGGTGGATAATTTGAGAGAAAGTGATATTTTCATTTGTTTGGTTGGGGAAGGTAAATAGAAAGAAAAGAAAAGAGGATGGAAAGTGTAACACCTCAAGCCATCAATTTCAATCCGCCCAAATTCAGGCTGCCAACTGGAGAGAGAACGTGGGTAACAACATTTTTTGTTTCTTTTTTTTTTTGATAGGAAACAAAATCGTATATTAATAAATAAAATATAGAGTACATAAAGAAAGGTTGGATAAGAAATCCAATCAAGATAATGAAAGAAAAATTATAAAGAAAATAATAATAATGATAAACCTATAAGTCACACTCTCCGTCCTGCTAGAATAGCAAAATGCAGAATACCTTTGAATTTTTTTGTAACTGAAGCCCAAAAAGATGCTAAGAAATGAATATGTTCCAATAGGAGGGTCCTTCCATGCACTCACTCCGATCTTCAAAAATTCGTGTGTTTCATTCCTTCCTGATAACCCAAAACCTAGCCATCATTGCAAAATACCAAAAAGTAACAACTTTGTCAAACCTTCCAAAACCTTTCACATCTTCAACACACAAGGAAGATGATGTTGCTAGAAACACGTAAGTACCCAACTCAATCCCGCCACTCAGCACAAATGATGCCATAGAGTCAAGGCAATCGAACAATGTACAAAAAGATTATCAATACTCCCAAAATCACCTTTACAAATCACACACAACTGAGAGGAAAGACAAGTGTGAGGCCTCCTTTTCTAAAGCATATTGTTAGTGTTAATCTTGCCATGCAAAAAATTGTACTTTAATGGGCACTTTACCATTCCAAATCATCAATGCAAGGGTAACGAAAGGACATGAATTTTCGTCCAACAAAGACTCAAAGAAAGATCTGCACAAGAATACTCCCGAAGACTCACCTATCCAGCTTCTTGTATCACTAGACCCTTTATAGACAATGACATTATTAAATATATCCAGAACATAAATCAAATCAATAGTGTCTCTATCATCAAGTTCCTATAGAAACCACTGCAATGGAAGAACCATGAGAGGAGGACAAATGATAGAAATGAGGAAACAGATATGAAAGGGAAGACTCTCTCACCCAAACATCCTTCCAAAAGCGAATTTTCTCTCAATAACCCACTATAGACTTTACATTACCTCGTCAAACTTGATAAATGAATTTCTATAGAGATCGAAAACCACCCCCTCTCGACCCAATTAACATCCCATAAATTGATTTGTAATCCATATTTGCTCTTGATAACTAAATGTCATACATAATTTAATTCCAAAGGGAACTTCCAAAAAATCACTTGCCTACCAAAGCAATATTTCTTACCTTCAAATTACCAATTGACAAACCACCTTTATCCCTATATTTAGAAACCACCCTAACTAATCAAGTGACCTTTCCTCGTTTCCCACAAAAAACCTCGCATCATTTTTTCAATTCTCATAGCTACTTTCCCCATGAATTTAAATAAAAATAAAAAAGTACCTGAAAATACTAACTAGAACTAACTGTATGAGAGTTAATCTTGTCACTTTGGATATGTCAGCCTTCTCCCACCCATCTAGTTTTTTTCCCACTTTTTCTACTATCATGGTGATGATAATGGATTCTCACCCCTTATTACTTCAAAGGTCACACATCCAAAAAGGTAGTCAGTCAAGTCGTACTGGCCAAAGACAAGTCCAAACAAAAAATACAACAGGGAAGAAGTCAAACTACATTCCATACAAAGTTGTCCAGCTTGTGTAAACATAAAAAAGGGGAACATTCTCAAAGTCCTTAGACACCGAAGCCCAAAAGGAGGCGAAAAAATAAAGCCGGTACCATAATCCTTAAATCTCTTCACACTTGCCTTTAAAAATTCTCACATTCCTCTCCAACCAACTAACCCAAATCATAACAAAGAATGCACACAAAAAAAGATACCTGAAAATCATTCAACTCTGCATCGCTGAGGGCACCATCCCTATCATGATCACAGAGGATAAATATTCGTTTTAAAGCTCTCACACATCGAGGCTTCAAAGTTTGTGCTTCCTGATCAAATAGTGGAGCTGTCGGATGAAGCACCGCCTTTTGTGCATAGTAGAAAACCTCGGGGATCTGAAAATAGAGAATACTGATAATTTACTTTTGACGATCCAAATGTTAATATAAAACCCTAAGGGATTGCTTTAAAACCACAATTATAGGTCATTCAGCAGATGCACGACCCAGAGAACCAAACCCCTTAAACATTGTTCGATAATAAGCCTGAAAAACTTAAGCCACAAAATGTACATAATGGTCCGTGACAGCAATTCCATATCCCAAATATGTAAAAAGGAACCACATTATAATAAAACAGTCATCCATAACATACTTGTTAAAGTAATTTCTGATGTTATTAGCTCTGTAAATAGGAAAACCTAGGGTGTCCAATAATGCAACAGATGCTACTGCTAGCACTAATCAAATCATATACTGGTCATGATACTAATTACTCAACAGCAATGAAGTCTTACCTGAATATGTTTAAAGGCGGAACACTCGATACAAGTTTCGATCTCACGAAACTGTTGCATTATCGGTGACATCACCTGCTCCAAGCTAACTGGATGTTGTTCATCCCTCAAATCTAACTTACAACCTACCACAATAACTGGCACCTTTACCTGCCCAATTAAACACAAGTCACATGAACATCCAAAACAACATAAAAGGACAAAATCAATCACCAATCAAAAAAAACGTAGCGTGTGCAATTCACAGACAACTTTCCTGCTTTTTGAAGCAATAATCAAAGCAAAATGTTGCTTCCAAAAGCAGTAAAACCACTTCCAACCTGCTTAGCAATCATTTTAATACCAACCTCTAAACGCCTGAGTTCAAGAAGCCAAAAAGTACTCAATCGATCAAGAGTTTCTGGCTGGTCACACGCATAAGTCAGCACTACGGCATCGGCACGCTTCAGCTCTTCAGCTAGCTTACCTCTATTCTCCAAGCTGAATGAGAAAAAACATCAACAAAAATAACCAAATTTGAACTGATATAAGTTCTCTAAATTGTTGCACAAAAAAATAGTTAACAATAAAACAAAATGCAGGTAACCATATACAGACATCAAATACTTACACAAATACATAAACATGTCTGCTCATTCTCTCACTCCCTACTCCCTAGGCCAACAACTGGATACTACGCACAAAAATAAGTTACTTTGAAGTAAATGTGTTGCATTCCTATGCATAGAAACACATAACATAGGCTTGAATATACAGAGGTTGAATTAGTTTGGGTAAATCTCCGAGACAAGAATGGCTGGTGCTAGAAAGGAAAACATTAAAAAATATATATATTATGCACTCATGAAGAACAACAAATACAAAAGCACAACTCATTCATTTCCCTTGGTTCATAAAGGAGGAAAAAGTAAAGCAGTACTCACAATTGAACTGAAATATGTTGTTATTTCGACACAGACCCACACACATGCAAATTTGAATAGAAATATGTTTGTTTTCTTCTAATAGCTGGGCGCACAGGTGGAGAGATAGACAGAAAGAAAGATGACATTAAACGGAAATGAGTCAATATCTACGCACACACTCTTTCATAATCACATGCAAAAAAAAAAACGCAGGATTGAAGTGACATATTTGAATATCTAACCATTGAAGTGAAATAGGCTAAAATAACTACAAGCATAAATGACACATTCCAACTCGAATATTTCAATATCTAATCACACGCCAAACAGACACGGATACAAATATACAGACATGGACATGTATGTGTGTCTGTCTATAAATAAATATATATATATATATATATATATATATAGAGAGAGAGAGAGAGAGAAAGAGGGAGAGTAATGACCTAGACGATGTATCGATGACAGTGACGGGAACTCGGTCCGGATAAATATCTTCGGGCAACCTCGTTGGCGGCAATAACGGAGGGGCACTGATCGGAAAACTCTCGGTGGCGGCCGTCACTACCAAGCTCGACTTTCCGGTGCCTTTATCGCCGGCGACGACGATTCTTACGCCGCCAGTATTCCCCTTCGCAGCTGAACCGCCTCCCGCCATTCACCAATCACACTTCACTGCACCACAATACCAACACCCTAAAGCTTATACAACGAACATGAATCTATACAGAGCAAGACAATAAATGTGCTACCTTGTTGATGAAGATTGGAGGCCCCACCGAAACCCTAGCTGTGGCGGTGGTAGAGGATGCTTGGGGAAGAATATTTGAGAGTACGACGAGGCTTCTTTGAACTGTGGCTTTGGGGTTTATGTGACACAGTTCGCTGTTGAACGGGTATGCGTTGAAGCATCGAGGGAAGAAAAAGCTTGATTTTGATCGGACAGTGGGGACGCAGGGAGGATGTACTCCTGGGGTTGGGTTTGATTAAATTATTTGTTGTGTTTAAAATATTTAAATTTGTTAAAAAAATAATATAGCTAAAATGTTAATATAAATAGACAAATTTCTATAGTTTAAAATATTAAAAATAAGTTGTAAGATAAATCATAGATTCTAATCATTCTATATAAGTTCCTTCTTCGTTGTGCTTTATGTTTCAGAAATTCATTAATCTATTTTGTAGATTTTCCTCCTGACAACACTTTATTCTCTGCAAAATTTTAAGCATTTAGCTTATATTGTTAAGAATTAAAATTTTAATTAGTATTATCAGAACTGGATCGGGTGATCCAACCGGTTTAATTGTGATCGGAGATCTTAACTGGTCCAGTGCTCTAATTAGACCCATAAAGAACAGAATTGATGACAACCACCAAATCAGGCAATTTTTTGTAAATGAGTTTCTGTCTCCCTGTGTCAATTTGGGGACTAAGAACAACTCCAACCATTTTCAATAAAATAATTATTCAAAAAATATTTAAATATTGTATTCTTCACTGTAACTAACCACTTTTTCAAATTCATTTCAATCACACTGTTTATTTTAACTGACTACTTCAACTAACTTTAACTAATTTTTAATCATATAATTCAAAAATTCAACTCAAAGCATATATAATCATCAACCCAACTAAAATCATATCATAATAATAATTCTAATTAAACTTTAAATAATACAACTTAATAGCAACTTAACTTCTATCCACTTTAAATAACAAAAATTAATTGCACAATACATTTCATAAATTTAAGATTTTTCCAAATACTTACATTAATATTTCATAGGAGTCTAAATATAAATATTCTATTATACATACAACTAAGGAAGATCTTAAATTTGGGGGAGGTTTCAGAATTTGTGGGGGTTTTCAGAAATTAGGGGGGAGAGGCGTTTCACTCATTTGGGTTTTTGCGCCTCACCCTCTATTGGAGCATACCAGTGGAAGTATCCAGCCCCTTCCACTTCAAAGACAATGAAGCCATAGCGAGAGAGACAGAGAGATCCATACCTAGTTGAAGGCCAAGACGAAGAAGCCATAGAAGAGGAAGACCAACAACAAAATTTGGCGTAAATGAAACATACCGAGGGAACCTTGCTAGCTAGAAATAGCGAGTGAAAAAGGGAGGAGGTAAAATAGATAGTGGGGTAAAGAGCCGATTGAAGCACCAATTTTATAATTTTGCTCGCCAAAATAACTAAAAGGATTGTTTGCTGAGCAACCTTGGAGATGCTCTAAGGTTAGGAGATAAAAAGAGTGGCGGTGGTTGGAAAATTTTGAATTATCCTTAATACCCCTTCACTAACTCAGGTGGCAAGTATGAAATAGTGATAATTGATGCAGTGATTATAATTTAAGAGCCAATTTGATAAATTACTTGTGTTGGGTGGAAAATATAATGAATAAAATAGAATGGATATTTCATATATTTTTTTTAGATAAATTTATTATGTTTTATAATTTTTTTTGATTTTTTTTATTATACAATTGGTCCAATCAGTTGACCTAATAGTTGAACCATTAAACCATTGAATTGACCCCTTAGTCGGTTCAATGTCCGATACGATTATGATAACTATGATTTTAATAATGCACTCAATGTTATTGAATTGTAGCAATATAGCGCAAAAGTTAATTGACATTCATGATTTCATCTAATTATAGGTTTTATGTCATACACGTGTCATTCCGAGGGCTAATAAATACTAATTCTTGACCAAAAAAATAGAGTTTGTTTTTTACTATGTTACAATATCAGTATCCCACTGCAACGCAATTCCCCAACGCTCTCCCCACTCATACAATCTCCACTCCTTCCATGTCCCCCCCCCCCCCTTTCGGGGTCCCAAGGGCTAGGTCATAAAATCTTTTTTGAATTGGCACTTTAATAAGTTTTATTTTTTATACTTCAACGTACATTAAACACAAAAGGGTAAAAAGTTGATTACACAACATGATTAAGTAAAAAAAGACAAAAGGAGATTAACTATAATCATTTGCAGAAAAAAAATGGCATTGAGTGTATTGATTTACAATTCTCTGATAAAATTTCATATTATGGAAATATTACATACTTCCAATTATTTTAGTTCAAGTGTTACTGAAACTAATTTCTATTTTGTCCATGATTAATGATCCTAATTAAATTCCTTGAATAATGACGCACTATAACTATGTGGAACCAAAATGATTAATATTTTATATATTCAATTGACACACGAGTTATAATTTGTATTCTTTTATCATCTTACATGCACAACTAATGCCCCAATTGAAAACTCATTAACTTGTATATTGTATACATTCTGTAAATTAATGTTTCAATTTGCAAAGAATTTTAGAAGTTCCACTTAGACTTTACGAATTATATGGAGTCATTGGAATTTCATTGGACTTCTTTCATAAACACCATTAATGCACTAAGTAAAAAACACATTAGAATTGCAAGAATTCTAGAAGTATCATATTATGGCTTCTTCACAAAAAAAAAAAGATAAACAAAAAGAATCAATCACGTGCGGATCTCTCTTAAAAAAAATTTCAATAGTTCACTGCACCTTCTAATATTGGTAATGTTTGTTCCTTGTGCAGATACTTACTTAGCATGATAATGGGGAGTTTAGTAGAAAGGAATGACACATTGCATAGTCCACGACACGAGGAACATCTTTTCTTCTTGGCCCAAGTAGATTCGAGCACCCAAGATCCGTAGATTGGAGAGAGCGAAAATAAAATGTCTCTCTCCTTCTCTCTTCTATCGGTGAATGAGTGATATTTCTCTCATTTTAATACCCTCAAAACACTTGGCCCACAAAACGATCAAATTTCTGAGTCCGTTTTTGTCCTAAAACGATCAAATTTTTTCCTGGTTTAAGTTTAAAATATTTTTATTTTAACTTGAATTTACTTATTTTTTAAATTTTATTAAAAATTTTATTTTTGGATCACCCGAGACTCGACTGTCTCGTAAAACACAAAAAATCTAACTCGAAATTTGACAAAAATTGACAGGGTAGCTAGATTTTGCGAGAGGAATCCAACGGTGAGGTCTGTTTCGTCATCTGAGGTATAAAAAATTTCGAGTTTACAACTTGTACTGTAGTGACAAATTACAATTTTTTCATAAAAAATTTAAATTTACCCGGATTTTACACAGAAAAGATCCTAAAATAATTTTACCTAAATAAATCTCATCCAATGAGTTCACCAATGGTTGTTCGATCATTAGATACCAAAAAAATATATATTTCGTCCTCCAGAAGAAGGTGAAAATTTTCTAGATCCTAAAGCACTATATCTCAACGCAATTAGTGCACCGATGTATCTTGCAAATTGTATAAGTCAGACATATCATTTGTAGTTAACTTATAGCCAATGTACAACACAACACCAACTTCAAAGGCATTGAAATGAAATCAAACATGTATTGCGGTATTTTTGTGGAATGGTGGACACGGGGTTATTCTATACGAATGACAAAAGTCCATCGTTAATTGAATATGTAGATGCCGATTACCTTTCTAATCCATGTAAGAAGACCCAATCACAGGTTGGATATGTGTTTACTTATGGTGGTACAATATATGTGTTTACTTATGGTGGTACAATTATATCATAAAAATCAGTTAAACAACAATGGTTTGTACATCATCCAATAATTCTGAAAATTCCATGAAGCAAGTCTTCTTCAAACATATTCAAGAGCAAAATGAACTACCTTTAATCAAAGTCATTTCAACAATATTGTACGAGAATAATACAACTTGTATTGCACAACTCAAGAAATGATATATCAAATGTGATAGAACAAAACATATCTCACTAAAGTTCTTTTACACCCACGAGTTAGAGTATAATGTTAATATTAATGTTCAGCAAATTTATTCGACTAAAAATCTAGCAGATTTGTTCACTAGAGCACTCTCATTGACTACATTCTAGAAATTGGTGAACCAAATCGAAATGCAGCATCTCATATATTTATCAAGTTGAATAGTCATTATTTTGGATAGATGTATTTAATAGAGGGAGTCATGTACTCTTTCTTTTTTTTTCGCTAAGGTTTTTTTCATTGAGTTTTACTTAGAAAGATTTTTAATAAGACAATGTTTAGGATCCTAATCGGACAATTTGCATGCTGTATTGTTTTTCCTTCGATAAAATTTTTTTCCATTGAGTTTTACTAACAGTTTTTAATGAGCTAACATTCGGGCCCGACACTATCTTGGCACAGTAAGTGTTGAAAATATTGGACATCCACACGTGGGTGGATGATCACAAGTCACAACCATAATACTCATTAAAGGAAAATGCTATTTGTCTTTATCAGGGGCAGATAGCTTGTACCCTCTACTTTATATAAAACTATTATGACAAAAATACACTCTCTATATTTGGTTTTTGAATTTTTTTTTATTTTTTTTTTATTGTAGGATATAAAAGCTTATGCGTAGTATTCCTTCAAATTTAAATATTTGGCCAAAGTAATTCGAGCGAACTTAGAAGGAAATGAGAATGATTTGTTTGCAGCTAATGATTTGTTAGTTTTATTATCATAACAAGGTTGATTCACATTTCAATTTTTTACGCTTCCCAAGAATACACCATCCTCAATCCAATTCCAAAACCTTTTCGCATCTCTCTCCCAGTCATTTTCTAATATAGACAGTTTACAAGTGGTCCATTCTCACCTACCTCTTCCCCCAACTTTGTATCTATCGAATTCATGTGTAAAGGAACAGGAAAAAGAAGAGTTCATGCGTAAACTTTCGCATGCTGACGCGGTGATCCCACGTTTTACTTTCCAAACATGCTGTGTATGAATATCAATATAGATAATAAGTGTGTTTGATCTTGAAGGGATAATTAGCATTGAGGGATGTCTGTTGATCTTGAATCTCTGTCAGAGGCCACCTCAGGAGCTATTGGGGCTCTTGTGAGCACCACCATCTTGTACCCTCTTGATACCTGCAAGGCTAAGTACCAAGCTGAGATTCGAGTTCACGGTCAGCAAAAATACAGGTGATCTCTCTCTCTCATGATTTCCTTAATTGATATGCTTCCGTCATATTTTCTGGTGATCATGGCTAGTATTTGCTGAATTGGGTTTTCTTTGTTAAATCTAAATATATGGGTCCTTGGTGAATCACTTTAATTTTGTGTAGAGAGTTTGGTGGAATGTTATATTTTTTGTTTGTTATGTAATTCATAAAATTTAATAATTTAGGTCTCTGTGAATTACTTGCTTTTTGTACAACACCAGGTGGCATGTTGGTTTGTGTTGCTTTTAATCTGTGATTGTTCTATAATTCATGAAATAGGTTAGTTGTACTGGTTCTAGCTACACTTGTACTGTAAATAGTATGTTGGGTTGTGTTCTTTATCATTATTTGGTATTTACTTGATGAACTTGTCAGAAATGTTATTTGAAAGTGAGACCAAACTCATCTACCATTTGTGACAGCAATTGATCTTGCTGCATATCATGATAAATTTTGGCCATCCCATGGATCCTGAGGCATGAAATGATACAAACTGTTCTGATTAGTCAGAGGGAGTAGTAGTCTTCAAATTCAAATGCTATTTCTTCCAAAACCTTTTCCAGTGTTTATCTGTAACTAAATTTTGATACGATCAAGTAATTGAAATTTGAAACTATCAGTCCAAACTGATATTATGGGAATCCTTGGTTGGTTGGTATTGACTTGGCGATAAGTGACGTTTCCTTCATCCCAGAGTGATTGACGAAGGAAAGATCATTGGTCCAATGAAAATCCCTACCTAATTGTAATGCATGCAATTTCATATTCTATGTCTACTATAATTTGATGCCTTGATTGGCAATCACTCTATGTTGTATTTACAATGTTTAGGGAAACGAAACATTTGAGTGTAAAGTACAAAATTGTTCCCAAGGTTGAAATAGGTATGTGGTGAATCTGATTGGCGCTTTCTGCCCTCTAATTCACCTTCTATGTCAATCCCAATCCATTTGGTTTCTTGTTTGGTTCATAGCTTAGCAGTTTCTTAAATGTTAGTG